ATATTCGATTCCCATCATATCTGAGGACTTACAGAAGTTTCCTGGTACTAAAAAGACAACCAGAAGACATCCAATGGATTTTTAACACACATCAGTGGCTCAAAAACCAACGTACTACGTTTTACAGTTACATTTTTRTATAAATTGTAATCTATCTATCTTACAAATGAAATGTACATTAAAGAATTGTAAAAAATATACTCTGTAAGAGAATTAAAATGAATAAAATATCATTAAAATAAATTAAATACTTAGTTAAAATTATTTCTACCCTGTAAAACCTATTCCTGAACCATGCCACCTCCTGGTACATTATGTGATCCTGTTAAAAATTCAGATTTTTGAGAAAATTTTCGAAATTTTGTCGAAAAATTAATTTTGTAACAGGAGAACATGATACCCGAGGAAGTGGCATGAAAACCGGATACCTCCTTGCACATCATGTGATCCTGKTAAAAATTCAAATTTTCGAGAAAATTTTCGAAATTTTGTCGAAAATCTGAATTTGTAACAGGAGAACATGATATGCGAGGAAGTGGCACGAGTTAATATTTTTCGAAAAAATAAGAAGGGGCGTGGCTAAAGTTTCTTGGCCACAACCCCTCTTCTGATTTATTAACACCCCTTTAAGAAAACCACATACCCTCACTACGTCATCGTGACGTCATCACGCGGAAAATTTAAATAAAATAAAATAAATTTTATTTTTCTCGACTGCCGGGATTCGAACCCGTGATCCGCGGATACGAATCCGAGACTCTAGCAGCGAGCCACGAACAGTTCTTGTTAATCGTGTCTTAAAACTTGTATTTAAAGTACCAAATTGATGCGGGACTTTAAAATTTTATATGAGTGATAGATATATATCACTCTCCGTCGTCGTGACGTCACGCCGAATAAAATTTATTTAAAATAAAATAAATTTTATTTTTCACGACTGCCGGGATTCGAACCCGGGTTACCGCTGTTGCGAATCGGAGACCCTAGCACTGAGCCACCGAACCGTTGTTATAAGACGTGTCTTAAAACTAGTATTTAAGGTACAGAATTGATAAAAATTAATAAGATATTACTTACCTTTAGATGTTAAAACTCTGCAATTTTTTTTTTTATAAATGTTGAGATTTTTTGTTAAGGAATTGGTTTTACAAGATAGAAATAATCTTTACAAATTTTTTCATTTCATTCAAGTATATTTTATTCATTTTAATCTCTTACAGAGGGTTTTTTTTACAATTCTGTAATGTACAGTTTATTTATAACATTGATAAATTGTAATTTATATAAAAATTTAAATACAGAACGTAGTACGTTGTTTTCAAGTTGCTGATGTGTGTTAAAAATCCATTGGATGTCTTCTGGTTGTCTTTTTAGTACCAGGAAACTTTTGTAAGTTCTCAGATATGATGGGAATCGACTATATTTTCAGTCTGCTTCAATAATATGACGTGTACCTGTAACAGTAATATAGAATAATATATATGCAAGACATTAAAGTATTATATAGAAATAAGTTTATTAAATAAATTTATGTAAAATGTTTAGTATACATTTTACGTAATAAATAGTACGTACTTTTCCAACTAGACTCTCGTCTTGATTATTCGTTGTCACTGCAGCTGCATTCTATTCGCATAATATTGTAGAATGAAACTCTTTTAAGGAAGACCATCAAATCAATGAAAATCTTCTTATCGTCAGTCGTAAGAAAATGAAAAATATATCCATTGATCCCATGATGTAACAGACTCTCCTTCTTTTTGGTTGGAATTTAAAATGTAGAGCTTCATACTTATCTAAAAATATTTTTAAAAGTAGTTCATATATGTACCAAAATAAGTTGGAAAAAAGAAAAAGTGTAGATAATACATAGAGTTTAAAAATCAAATAATTCATATATATATAAATAGTTAGTAGAATTTTGTATAAAAGTATTTTGTATATACACTTTACTTACTATTATTTGTTATAATAATTTGATAAAGAGAACGTCTTGAATGCATCTGAATCCTTGGATTTTATTTAGAAAATTATTTTTCTTAGGTTATGACATAACACTGTYCCATAGTTATTCATCCAATTGAACTATTTTCATTCAGAATTGTTGATCACTAAAAAAAGAAAATGAAACTAATTAATACAAATARAAAATATGACTCACTTGATTATTGCATCACTGAGAATGTTTTAAATTAAATACCTTACACTGCACGCAGGCTGGATTTGCAGCATTCAAAATACA